GTCCCCTGCATCGGCAGGTGGACTCTCAACCACTGCGCCACTAGGGAAGTCCTGTGCTTTATTCTTTTTACTGCTGAATATTCCATTATATGCTATGCCACATTTTCTTTATCGATCAGCTTATATATGCATTTGGATTGTTCCTACTTTTGGCTATTATAAGTAATCCTGCTATGAAAAATCTGTTTACAAGTTTTTGTGTAGATGTATGTTTTCATTTCTCTTGGGTATATACCTAGAAGTGGAATTGCTGGGTCATACGGTGACTCTGTGTTTAACTTTTTGAGGAACTGTCAAACTGTGCGTGTGTTTATAACTTTACTGAGATGTATTTCCCATAGCACGAAATTCACCCTTTTAAAGTATATAGTTCAGTGGGTTTAGTATTTCCCAGGGTTGTGCAACCATCACCAGTCTAATTTTAGAAAATTTTCATCAACCCAAAAAGAAATACCATACTCATTAGCAGTCACTTTCCATTACTGCTCCCTACCCCAGGCAACCACTAGTCTACTTGCTGTCTTTGGATTTTCCTATTCTAGACATTTCACATAAATAAAGTCATGTAATCTATAGTCTTTTATCACTAGTTTTTTTCTCTTAGCATAATGTTTTGGAGATTCATCCATGTAGCTTGTATTAGTATTTCATTCACTTATATGGCTGAATAATATTCCATTGTATGGATATATCACCTTTTGTTTATCCAATCTCTACCTCTTTCATCCCCTTCCTGTATGTCTTTGTCTCTGCTTTCTTATAAGGACACCAGTCATTGAAGTAGGTTCCACACTAATCCAGTATAACCTCATTTTAACGAATTACATCTGCAAAGATGCTGTTTTCAAATAAGGTCACATTCTGAGGTTCCATGAATTTTGGAGTGACACTGTTCAACCCAGTAAAGGTACCAAGGAATCATCACATGAATTCAGGTAGAAGTCTTTTAAAGTTGCAAGCTGAGGTAGGCTTTTGGCAAGATTTAGTGCCCAAACAGCTTTGAAAGAACTTTTCTGGGGCTGCAGGCCATTATGGAGCTAACTGGCTTCATAGACATGGCTTTATGTCAGAAGAGTGGAATTCCAAGTGTCTGTGGGCCCAACTCATGCTAACCCTTACTTCATCATATTGACAGACCTGAAAAACCTCTCTGACTTTGACCACAAGAAACAAGCATATGTGGATTTTTATGCCAGGGAAAATTCTTTTATTCATTCAACAATGAATTCAGTGTAATGAATACCCACTATGCGCTGGGACTGTTCTAGGCACGGAGATTCAGACGTGACTAGAACACATTTTGAGTACCTACAACCTGCAGTGCTTTCTTGACCCTCTATGCACTTCATCCTCATAAAACCACCCTATGTCAATTTGTAAATAAGGAAACTGAGACCCAGGTGAAATTTCTCTAGCTCTTTGAGTAAACAGACTGGGTCACAGATTTGAATCCATAGCCTGAGCTGGAGGCAGAGGGCCCTAGAGCTGCGGATAGGTCACTCTTCCTTTATACAGACCCACAAGCATTCAGCATAGGGGACATGAAGGATGAACAGGGTGACAAGGCAGGATAAGTAGGTTGTGACAAAATGGCTATTCTTGTCAGATTGGGGAACCTGGACTTTATTCTGAAGGTAATGAGGAGTCAGTGGATGTTACTGAGCGAGTGTGACTTATTATGCTATATGTATTTCATGTGTTTAATCGACACATGATTATGGAGTTGGATCACAGACTGGGCTTCATTCTAGGGGTAAAACTGTTACAAGAGGGACAGTATCTCTGCCCTTACTGAGCTGGTAGCCTAATGTATGGAGTGATGAGAAAGAGCTTGGTGTTTTCCTGAGATTCTGTTTGAGACACAAGGAAGTAAAGGTGGGAAACAAGATTGAAGAAATAAACAGGAAAGTGGTTTTCAAAAGAGAGAGCTTTGTAAGTCATCTTGAGGATGCCAGGGATCCAGTGACAAATTTTAAGCAAGGCGGTGACATAATGACATGCCATGGCTGCTGAGAAGCAGGGAAGAGTCACAGATGTTGCCTCGGTTTCCGGCTTGGGGAACTGACTGGATGGTGACGTTGATGCACTTCACTGAGCTAGAGACGCAGGAGGAGGAGTTCCGTTTAGATTGTTGAGCTTGACCTGCTTGTGGGACAGCTGAATGGAGACGCTCAGTAGATGGGGGGTCGGGGGGGGGGATATAAGACAGGGAGCCCAGGAGAGAGAACTGAGCTAGAGATGCAGATTTGTGAGCTGTTATCACATAGCTGAAGCTGTGAGAGTGGACAGGATACCCCTGGAGAGTCTCCAGAGTGAGAGTGAGGTCGTAGGAGGGTCTGGGGCAGAACCCCGAAGAAAGCCCCCATTGAAGGGCTGGGCAGAGGAAGAGGAGTTCAGAAGACCACAGAGAGTGTAGAATGCACCAGAGGTTTCCCTTGCACCTTCCCTATGTCTCCTCAGGCAGCAGCTTGGGCTGATCCCCGGCGCTGGGCTTTCTCTGTCGCCCATCACAAACCCTCTCCTCTGCCACTAGAGAGTTCATCTTGCAGGTCTAATGGAGTAGTGAAGCCATTGACTCTGTTAACAAACATCCAGTTCACTACGAGACCTGTAATGGGAATTCATTTTGGAGGTCAATACAGCTGTCAGTGGGACAGTTTTTCCCCAGAGGCCTGTGGCTTTTCCTGCTGTACGCTGGCACAAGTTGTTTTGCCCAGCAGCAGAAAAGACCGCAGAGTCATTAATGCTGTAGAGCATCCATGAGCTGGTGATCCTGCCCAGGGCCATGAGAAGGGCCCTAAAACAGGTCAGATAACAGGGAGTGGAAGCAGAACTACGTCGCCTCTGAAGTGCTTTGAATAACCATAGAAAGCCACCATCATCACCACTAAAGCATTACCTCCCACTAGCGGTCACATTGCCAGAAATTACATCTTTAAATCTTTCTTTTGAACAAAAACGTTTCACTGTTGGAATTACTGTATGCTGGATGAATGTTCTTGCCTATTCCACAAAGACAGACTCAGAACTTTGTATGTACCTGGGGTTTATTCGGTAAATGCTGGCACCGTAGAGGTGACATCGTCAGTCATTGTTCTTAGAAACCCATGGGCCAGGCAAGGAAGCAGGGTGACAGTGGATATAATGAAGCATGGGCCACCTGCTGTTAGCACCCAGAAGAATGGCCAAGTCCACGAAGGTTTCAGCGAGAATGTGATACCCGTGTAGGGTCTTAAAGTCTGTGTGTGAGTGCCCGAGGAGAGGTGAAATCCAGGCAGAAGGAACAGCATAGGCCAAAACAAAGAATCATAAAAGGGGCCGGTAGTGTATATATGTCCATGCCACTCTCTTGCTTTGTCACATAGGGAGCCGCGAGAGGGAAGAGAGATGGGAACATATGTATATGTATAACTGATTCACTTTGTTATAAAGCAGAAACTAACACACCATTGTAAAGCAATTATACTCCAATAAAGATGTAAAAAAAAAAAGGCGGGGGGGCGGGGGCGCTGGTGCATTCACAGACTGATGAAGCTTTCATATGCCTGGGGTATGGGAGGAGGGAAACAGGAAATAGGTCAGACTGTGAAAGGCCTTGTATGTTGTGCTAAGGAATTTGGACTAAGCTTAGAGAGCCAGTCAAATGAATAATGCCCTTGGCTGGGGGTATTACTCTAAACTATTATCTGTCTTTAATACCTCACTTCCTTTCTAACACAACAGACGAGAGTTTAAGATAAGAGTTAAGAGAAAAAAAGACCAATAGATGGAGAGTGGTGAGAACAAGATGTGGGGAACATCGTCCTCAGAGGACTTGGAAGGGCAGGCGGGAGGAGCTGGGACCAGTCTTAAGGGACCGTTCCAATTACATGTGCTTTTGTCATTAGTACAGTAACACACAGTCCAGGGACTCAGTAAATAAGTCTTCAGGAAGCAAAGCTTCATTTAGCAAAGCCAGCGTAGCTTTGAGGGAGATGATGAGAGCAGGAGCCACCAAAGAGAGGGAAGGCCGTGGCACTCACCGCCCCAGAGGCTGGCCTTGCTCGAGAGCCAGAGTCGTACTTCTGGACCTCGAGTAGGCACACCTCCTGGAAGTGGGGCAGATACTGCCCAGGCTGTGATAGGGAGTCGCCTCCAGGAGCAGTACAGAGGTCCAGAGCCTGGAAGCCACAGCCCTGCGCTCTGGGAGGGCAGAGCCGGGGCAGGCGCATGAGGAAGAGAATGCTGCGGCTGGACCATTGCCTCTGCTCTTAGTATTTTCTCCTCGTCTGACAACCCAGTTTGGGATAAGGACACCTTCCCTTCCTTTACCATTCAGAGAGCTCTTTCTCCTTTTCACAGACTCCCTGAGGAACATTTCCTCAGCCAGTCACGGCCCCCGCTCTTCGCCAGCTGAGCTCAGCAGCTCCAATCAGCACCTTCTCCGAGAACGAAAATCCTCAGCCCCGTCGCACTCCAGCCAGCCAACCTTGTTCACCTTTGAACCCTCGGTGTCGAACCACGTGCAGCCCGCCTTGTCCACCAGTGCACCTCAGGAGTATCTCTACTTGCACCAGTGCATAAGCCGGAGAGCAGAAAATGCAAGGTAGGCAAGCAGTAGTTGGTTGAGCAACCACTCACAGGGCCTAGTACTTTTCAGACTCTGCTTTTTAATTTTAAATACGTAAGAGTAAACTATTTTATCTTTCCAGGTAGGCAAATATATAATTATAAAACAAAACATCATTGTTTTTGCTTAGGCAACCTTCACATTTTACTGGTATCATCTACCTTGCTATACAATGATAATTGGATTCCAAAGAAGCCTCCCATTATCAAAAATCATGCTATAAAACTTTTTGGTTTAATTTGAAAAAAAGGCATTAGGAACTAGAGTTTCAGAATTGAAAAAAACAAAGTCAGTGCACTTGTTGGCCCTAAGAGTGTAACTATAAAACCTTAACGTTGTTCAACAAATCCTTATCTCACTTTTGCTCTAGAGCTACAGTTCCATATGGCAGCCACTCTCCACATGTGGCTATTTAACTTTGAATCAGTTAAAATTAAATAAAATTTAAAATTAAGTTCCTCAGTTATACTAGCCGTATCTCAAGTACTCAGTAGCCACACATGTCTAGTGGATACCATACTGGGTAATACAGATATAAAACATTTTCATCATCACAGAAAGTTCTAGAGCAAGGACTCCCTGCTCTGGAATAAGTTTTTGTTTTTCTAACACCATCAACTCTAACAGGTACAGAGCCTGTACATATTTTTATTACCTTTTATTCCCATTGCTGGGGTAAACAAAAGTGCAGAGCTGGTGGGCTTTGCCAGAGCTGGTTCCCAATTCTACCATGGCCAGCAGATTGTAAATCATGTTCCTTAATGAATTAATTTAGAAATATCGAATTTGTGTTATGAAAATTAAGGCAATTAGAGAACTGGCTGTATTAATAAATCATGTCACAGAGTATTTTCATGCATAATCTCACTTAAACCAGTTAAACACACTGAGAGATCGCCAGGGTAGATCATTTATCTCCATTTCATGGATGAAGAAACTGAGACTCACAACTAATAAATGACAGAGATAGGACTAGAACCCAGGTTTCTCCTTTCTGGTCCTGTATTCTTTTCTCTACACTGTGCTGTTCTGGTTATGGTTTTCTGAGTCATTTTCATGCCACAGAAGCTCCCAACACTCAATTTTAAGTCTGCCTGAAAAACCCATTTTCCTGAAGCAGCGTTGATTCATTCGTGAACTTTCACTAGTTCAGTCGACTTCCATCAACATACACATGAAGGGCTGAGTTCTAAAAAGGTAGAATGAATTAACCAAGATCACTGAACTAGTTAGTACCTGATTCTCCTGAAGCACAGACTGGAGACAGTATAGTAGAATGAAAAAGTATTTTACAGAGTGAAAAGTATTTTGCAGTCAGTCAGTTATGGGTTCAAATTCAGGTTTGGCCACCTCTTTGTGACCTTGGACCACATATTGAGCCTTTTTGACCTTCAATTTCCTTATCTGCAGAGTGGGAATACTTAATTCAAAGGCTTACTTAACGAGCATAAAATGGCAAAATATACCTAAGGTAGCCAGGAGGTAGGAGGCGCTCAGGACATATTGCCAGATGCTCTCCTGTGCCGCCTCCCCTTCTACTACATGTAGGATTGCCTGGTAGTAGAGAATGCGAGGTCTTACAGTCATAATTCTAGTGAAAGACAGAGCACTTTATATTAGTGCCTCTCAAACATTAATGTGCATATGAAATACCTGAGGGTCTTGCTGAAATGCTGATTCTGATTCACTGGGCCTGGGGTGGGTCCTGAGATCCTGCCTTTCTGCAAAACTGCAGATGATGTCAGTGCAGACTGCAGATCATACTTTAAGTGGAAGGCTTTATATAGTATTAACAACTGCCACCACCTCCAGTCCCATGATACTGCTAAAGCAACAGTGAACACATATATAAATGTCTCTGCTTGAATTAGCAGCTGGGGCCCACTCTCTGTACCCTCACCTCCTCTGTAAAACCTCTTTTAAATCTTCCTAGCTGGAATTCATTTTTCTCTGAATTCCCATAGCAGTTTTTGATGATCTTTCTCACAGCATTTGGAACTTTCTACCTCGTATTATGGATTTTTATATTAATATGTTACTGTCCTTTGGGACAGGACTCAGGGCACATAGTAGGTGCATAATAAGTATTTGAACAAATCTGTGTTATGGAGGTAACATAATAGATGAGACAGAATTTATCTACATCTGGGGAAGCAGCTTAATTGTAGGGCCTTGATCAAGTTGTGCTTTTCTCTGTGTCTTTGTTTTTACTTGTGTGGGTGTGGGAGCGAGAGGGTGATGAGCAGGATCTCAGGGAGATTTTAAAAAATAGTAAGTTCAAACAGTGTTTGTAGAATTCCAAGCAGGAAAGGAGGGTGGGAAGGAAGTTTTCTTCAGTCTAGAAGGATTATGTAGTTCCTGGTAATGGTGGAGTAGCATGCATGATACTAAACATACTGTAACAATTATAAACTCTGGACAAAACATTTTAAAATCCTGTTCAAAGGCACTGAAGAGCAATCAAAAAGCAGGACTGATTTGACTCTTAAAACAAGGGACCAAAAAAAAAAAAAAAAAAAAAGGGACCCCCGTTTAGCGAGATGCAATTTACATGGCTTTTGCTATGAAGGAAATTTCTATAACATATCATCCCAAATGTTCAGTATACAATGAGAAATTGCTGGACATCTGAAGAAACTGTAAAAGTTGACCCATAGTCCTAGAGAGCTCAGGTCATAGAAACAAGTTAAAATCAACCCAGTTTTTGAAGCTAGCATACAAAGACTTTAAAATAGTTGTGTTACTTGCTTTAATCTATGGTGGGAAGAGGGGGTGGATAATGAGTAAAGAGACGGTGAAATTTAGGAAAGAGAGAGAAACTTTGAAAAAGAACTTAGGAGTTCCAGTTCCGCTATGGTGGCAGAAGCCACCACAGGCTTCTGTCCCTCCCACTAATTACAGATAAAAACTCTGGACAAAATATAATTACCCAAAGACTCTGTAAAGAAAAAGAAAGGAAGCAGATTATGGAGACGAGCAAAACTTGGAGATGTGAGTACACAGGTAAATCTTCTGTCTCTGGTGGATTTGTCCTGAGAGTGGGCTCCATCACAAAGCAGCACAGTGGGGCAGGCTGCTGAAACTCTAATAGAAACCTCATCTTTCTGGTTAGATGAAGCAGAAAAGGAGCCCTTTGGGGACTGGAAAGGAGTGGAGTATCCCAGTGTGGAGAGAGCTAGTGAAGGCAATTCCTAATTCTGGGTATAAACCCACACAAGTCTCAGGCTCACCTTGAGCTACCCATGTGTGGGACAGACTCAAATCAGCATAACAAGAGCTTTGTGAACTAAACTGAGATTTTCACCACCACACACAGAGGAGAAACAGAAGTTACAGGTCGAACCTGACCATATTGATTGCCTGCAAAAACAAAATCAACATTCTGCAGAGGATGATAAAAGAACCCAGAGTCTACACAGCATAGTATCTCAACATTCAGAATATAATCCAAAATTTCTCAGCCTACAGAGAGCCAGCAAACTAATTCTCAAGGGAGAGCACAGATGCCAACCCCAGTATAACTAATGTTGAAACTACTACACACAGGTTTAAAAGCCCATTTTATAACAGTATTCCATATGATAAAGGAAAACACACTTGAAATTAATGGAAAGAAAAAGAAACTCTTATCAACCCAGAAGTCTATATTCTGCAAAAGTATTCCTTCAGGAATGAAAACAAAGTTAAGACACTCTCAGATGAAAGGTAAATAAGAGAATTTCCAAGAGATCTGACTTAAAGAAATAATAAGGCTAAAGCAAAGAAGTACCAGAAGGAAACTAAGATCAGGAATGAAGAAAGAGCAGCAGAAATAGTAAATATCTGCATATTATAAAATACTATTTTTTCCCTCCTAAGTTTAAAATACTTAGTATGAGTGCTGAAAGCAAATATTAAACATTATCTAGTGGGGTTTTTATGTGTTTTTATTTCTGGTAAAGGAAGAGCTCTTCTGGTAAAGGAAGAGCTTCCTTTACCATTTTTTGCCATGTGAGTCCCTGGTAACAGATTTTCCCAGCTTTCATTTATGTGGAAATACCTTTATTTCACCTTTATTTTTTAGATATATTTTTGCTGGGTATAAAATTCTGGAATGATGCTTTTATTTTGGCATTCTAAAGGATGCCATTCTATAGTCTTCTGACCATCATTGTTTCCGATGACAGGTCAGCTGTTCTTTTTTTCTTATTCTCCTGTATGTAATGTATCTTTCTTCCTCTGAATGATTTCTTTTCTCTTCTTTTAAAAAAAATTGTGGTAAAATACACATAATATAAAATGTACCATCTTAACCATTTTTAAGTGTACAGTTCAGTAGTATTAAGTACTTTCACATTGTTATGCAACCAATCTCTAGAACTCTTTTCAACTCTCAAAATTTAAACTCTCCACTCTTAAACAACTCCCCATTTCACCTTCCCCCTAGGCCCTGACAACCTGCATTCTACTTATCTGTATGAATTTGACTTCTCTAGGTAACTCATTTAAGTGGAATCATACAGTAGTTGTCTTTTTATGCAGTCCTCAAGGTTCATCTGCATTGTGGCACGTGTCAGGATTTTCTTCCCTTTTAAGGCTGCTGAATAAATATTTCATTACATGCATATTCCACATTTTGTTTATCTGTTCATCCATTGTTAGTCCCTTGGGTTACTTCCACCTTTTGGCTATTGTGAATAACACTGCTGTGAACATGGGTTTATAAATACTCTTCAGGACTCTGCTTTCAGTTATTTGAGGTATATACCCAGAAGTAGAATTGCTGGGTCATATGGTAATTCTATTGTCGCTTTTTGAGGAATTGCCATACTGTTTTCCATAGTGGTTACACCATTTTACAACAGTGCACAAGGGTTCTAGTTTCTCCACCTTCTTGCCAACACTTGTTATTTTCTGGCCTCTTGATAGTAACCATCCTAAATGGGTGTGAGGTAGCATCTCACTGTAGTTTTCATTTGCATTTCCCTAATGATCAG